CATTTAAACAGGTTTTACAAAATATATAGTTTTTAATATCTGTAAACATATAAATATGATATGTGTTGTACATAAATGTAATAAAGTTGAATAAATTTGATCAAACATATGTTAATACTATCAGTTTTAATATTTTTATTTGTAAATTGATCAAAACACATGCAAATGTTATTTGTTTCAGTATCAATATAAAATTAATTTTCATTATTCGTGTAAATTATAAAACATACGACAAATTTAGATAAATTTTAGATTTATATGAATTTGTCGGACATAACAAACAAAAATCAATATATATTTTCCAATAATGAAATGCATAAATATTTGTAAGTGTGATTAAATATATATAGTAGAGTACATATCATAATAAAAATATAGTATATTAATCTAAATACATATATACATAATAGATAACTGTTATAAATATAATAAGAAAAAGCTTATTAATATATCATAAAAAAGATGTTATGCTAAGTAAGTCTAAAATATTACATTTAGTTGGATTTAAAACTTTAGAACATGTATTTATGTTAAAAATATAATGAGAATGTGTAGAGAAATTCCACTATGACATATATTTTTAGTTGAAATGTTTTGATTGGTCAAATTAAATTATGTGTCTCTCAAATTTCTCATTGATTGACACCTATGATTTTTACTTTACAATGGTTTACATCAAAAATGGTGTAACACCAAAATGGTGTTGGGTTTTGCTCCAATGGTTTACACTTTTTACACAAAAATAGAATATTCTTAATAGATTATCTTTTTCAATTCTTTAAAATTTACAAATCAACCCCACTTATTTTTTTAAGTTTAAAAAAATATGAAATAAATTAAATTTAATATTTATTATATAAAAGAAATACATTGTAACATATAAAATGACAAAAAAAAATTTTTTGATTAGAAGGGTATCATTTCATAAATATTATCCCGAGGGAACCAACATCGTAGCTTGTTTTGCAAGGTTATGGGCAAGTACATTAGCTTCTCGTTTAATATAAACAAAGGAAACAAGTTCGAATTTTTGGGCAAGTACCGTAATGTCTTCGATGATGCCATATGCATTCATGAGTGATGTACC